GAGGTCCTCCTCAGTTTCAGCAAGCAGGGCTGTGTCATCTGCATAACGCAGATTGTCAATAGATCTTCCACCAATCCTGACGCTACACTTCTCCTCATAGAGCCCAGCCTCTCGGATAATCTGCTCTGCGTACAGGTTGAAAAGGTATGGAGATAGGACACATCCCTGGCATACACCCTTCCCAATTTTGAACTATTCAGTGTTACCCTGCTCTGTTCTGACGACTGACTCTTGGTCCAAGTATAGGTATTGCATTAGCATGATCAAGTATTCTGGGATTCCCATTCTTCTGAGTCAGCCACAGTTTGTTATGATCCACACAGTCAAACGCCTTTGCATAATCAATGAAACACAGATAGACATTCTTCTGGTATTCCCTGCTTTCAGCTAAGATCCATCTAACATTGGGTACAATATCCCTAGTACCATGACCCCTTCTAAACCCAGCCTGGACTTCTGGCAGTTCTCTGCTGATGTGCTGTTCCAGTCATTTTTGGATAATCTTCAGTAGAATCTTGTTTGCATGTGAAATCAATGAGATTGTCAGTTTTATAACAGTGCCACTATGCAGTATCTGTCCCTTTGTGACTGGGATATTTCACTCAGCATAATGTCTTCCAGGGTCCATCCATTGACTTCTTTCTTTCCTTTATGTCAATAATATACTATCTTCTTTATTATACTTTTATAGAAAGTGTTTTACACAGTTTAGTTTCTATACTTTTATTCTTTAACTATTATATCTAGTCTAGTTACCTTGCATTTTCATATATATTTTTAAAAACAAGGTAATAATCTTAAAAAAATAAATCCACAAATCCCTGCATTTTCAAATTAATTCAGCAATATTTTCAAAAGCATATTTGTTATAATTTACCCAACAGTACTTTGCACTGGCCAAATATTTTTTTAGAATTTCTAATTTTTCATATTGCTTGAAGTACAAATTTCTTTGATGTCTTTTAGCAGCTCCACAACATTCCGTTGTACAGATATATCCTGATTTATTAATCAGAGTGCTGCTGATGCTGTTCCTTTCCTCTCCTATTGCAAACAATAAAAACTCAAAGTTGGAAACACTGTTTTGAAACAGACGCTTTCACACACTGCTTTCTCACAACAAATTATGACTAACACTGAGAAGAATGAGAATTCCAGAAAACTTCTAACAGTAAGGGAGTTCTCATGACTTAGTCAGAAAGAGTCTTGCAGCCAACCCAAAGGCACACAGTTAGAATCCACTAGCTGGTCCGTGGGAGAAAGATGAGCTTTTGCCTTCTGTGTGATTTACAGACTTTGAAAACCCTCTGGAGGGTTGGCTATAAAAAATGGTTCTGACTTAATAGTTTATAACAACAACTACAGTAAGCCAGAACAATCAAAGTTAGTGATTTATAATATACAAAAGAGGAGCCCAAGCTGAACAAATAAGTTGCACGTTACCCAGCTATTCCACTGTTTGCAATATACCCTGAGGAAATGATAACTGAGACACAAACAGAAACTTGTATGTCAGTGTTCATAGCAGCATTATTCACCATCACAAGAACATGGAAACAGATCAAATGTCCAATCACAATGATTGAATGGATTGAGAAATTGTGGTACATTCAACTGATGGAATACTATGCAGCACACAGGAACAATGATTTTGTAAATCACTACCTAACTTGGGAGGGACTGGAGAGCATTATGCTAAGTGAACTAAGTCAGTCCCAGTGGTGAGAATCTTTGTCATCTTGTTGTTGCACTTCAACTCAAAATGACACTTTTGGTGTGGTTACATCTGTTGACCATAAGTAAAGTAGATTACCCTCCATAATGTAGGTGACTTCATCCAAATCAATTTGAAGACTTTAAGAGGAAAAAGGACATTTAGCCTCGATTGTATTCTATTTCTAGACTACAAATAGACATTTTGCTATGACTCCTCCACTTTTCCTGTCACTTGATTTTGATCCACAAGACTTCTGGAATCTCTAGCCTGTGCCCTAATCTACAAACACTGGACTTGCCATTACCTGTAGACTTGACAGCACCTCACAACAACCTCTTAAAATGTGGGCCACTTTTTTGTTCACAATAACAAGGAGTTGAAAACAGTCTAAGTGCCCATCAACAAATGAATGGATAGAGAAGCTGTGGTATATTCACACAATGAAATACTACACTGCATTGAAAAATAAGAAACTCCTCAGTCACAAAAGGACAAATACTGCATAGTGCCACTGTTGTAAAACAGGACTGACATTGGGTTTGGGGGGAGACTGAGAAAGACGGGAGAAATAATGTATACTGCATTGAAACAGATGAGGGAGAACATGAATCAAAAGGGATATGTGATTAAGTATTATTGTCATGACAGGAGTTCAGAATGAAGACTGCATAGTGGAGTGGATCTAGGAGGGATTGTAAAACAATGAAAGAATTTTTCTTTTACTTTTCAAAGAGAAGAGTGTACTGGGGGCAGGGGTAGGCAGCGAGAAAAGTGAAACAACGAATGAATGGAAATCCAAAGTCTCTGGAAATTTTCATTGAAATTAATAATAAAAAAAATTTTAAAAAAACACCCAAAAAACACAACAACAACAACAACAACTACAAAATTTGGGCCACTCTCTTAAAATATCTCACTCTATCTCTACATACACATACTCCCCCAACACACACACATACACACCCCCCCATACTGTTTCTTTACAGAACCCTGATGAAGACACTTGCATTTCACAGTAATAATAACAATGGAACAATAAAAATATACAGATTTTATAAAATATAATATATGAACATGATACCATGAAGCCCAATGTGAATTGAAGGATGTGTGAAACATAATGCAGATGGACTGTGGATATGAACGAAACATAATGTATATGAATTTTGTATGCAAACCAATATAAAATAAAAATAATTTTTTTTCCATATCATAGCAATTTATTTAAAAATAATTTTGTTGATTTTTCTTATGTTCAAAATCAAGCATAATTAAGAAAATATTCCTGTTACAGTACTTTGATAATATTAATTAACCTGTGTTATTTTCTCATGCGATTTGTGATTTTAAGGAGTACTAATTGTCATCTAATATATTTTGCTTAATAACCCTTGATCTAGACTTCCAGTACCAAAACAACAGCTTCCTTTTTTCTTAAAACATCTGGCATGATGTGTATATCATTATTACATGAAATTTTTTTTTTAAATTTAGGTTGTTTATTTTCCATTTCAGTGAACATCTACAGCGATTTTGGGATTCCATTCATTCATTTTTGCACCCTTCTCCCCGCACAAACCCCTCCCCCCCCCATTTGCTCCTCTCCTTGAAAAGTAAAATAAAAATAATTTTAAAAAATACAATGAGATGTAAAATACCAACTCTTGGGTTGACTGGCCTTCATTATGCATTTAGTTAATTAGCATATCCAGGTACTAAATATCATGTGTCAGGCATGGTACCATGTACTAACCTGTCAAATGGTTGCTCCTGATCCCCAGGGACAAACTCTCTCTTAGGGGTACAGAAATGCAAACAAATCCTGACATGCACTTGTTGTTAGGCACCGTTGAGTTGGCTCTAACTCTAGTGAAATGGGGCCCGTTGGTGATGTAAACAGGTAGTGTGCTTGGTTGGAGGTTCACAAGGTGGAGGTGAATAGAAATGGGAATCTACAGCCAGAAAGTATAATCAGCCATTGGAAACCCAATGCAGGAGAGTCCAACTCATATGCTTTGGAGTCAACTCAATGATAACTGGTTTTCTATTAAAATATAATTTAGAAATTTGTCTTTACTATTTTTTCACTTCTCCTTTGAGTGTCTGTGCTCTTCAAGGACTTGCTCCCAGCTAATTATGAAAATCCTCCACAGGATGATATCTCCCAATAAAAGCACGAAGTAATATTATTAACAGGCTACTCTTAAAAATAGCTTTATTTTTTTCTGACAATAAAATTAGGACATGTTTATTGGAAACAGTTCAGAAAACACAAACAAGAATATAAAAGAAAACGAAAAGAACAGAATATAAAAGTAAATAGTAACACTCGTAATCCCATTATTGCTAATGTTCTGGAGACTGGTCATTTTAACTTTTTCCTTGCATATATATATCCTTTTCTTTCTATATTTACATCTATATCTACATCTATGCAAGTATTTTTTACAGAAATTAGATATACATATTATTTTGTAACTTCCTTTATATCATTAATACATCATAAATTTGTTTCCATGGCATCAACGTAGATCTACAGCCACACCTAAGTGGCTACGTGGCATTCTGTTATGTGGCTGGATGGAAATTCCTTTAACCTGAACCTTTAACTGGAGTTCTTAACTACTCCTGCTGGTCCTTCTCCAAGCATGCATATTGATTAAGTGGTCCCACTCTGTTTCATGTTGTAAAACCAGAGAAGCCTTCCAGAATAATTAAAAAAAAAAAAAGACACATTATATTATTTCGAGAATGAGAGATGTAAAGAAAAGTGGGAAATGATTGTCAAAGGAAACATTTTTCATTTGTAAATATTTTACAATAATTTCTTGCAAATAAAATTTGACCTTTTCTCTTAAAACTCTGCAAGTATCTGAAAAACTTAAAATAAAATCAGATCACAGTGGTTTAGGGTGAAGTATCAAAACTCTACAAAAGGACTCTGCAGCCCATTGTTCACTGAGCTATAAATAAAATGCACTGAGGAACCAGTGCTTCTTAGGAAGTAATTTACTGAGGGCAGTCATCCAGGGCATGCTTTTCTAACTTGAATCTGTCTTGATAAACCTAGTCTAAGAGACATTAAATGTGACCTTTGAATAGGACCTTAGTTTTTGGGAAGTTGGGAAATTGTATACAGGCTATTCTGAACCTACGTGGTAGGGCTGTGTTGGTGTTTTTTGAATATAGAAGGTAGTCACTTGGGATAAGCAACTGATAGTAGAAAAGACCTGCCTGTCCCTAAGACTAGAACAACCTTAGGCTGTGATTCGTAGGAGAGGGTCTAAGTGTTCCAGAGGACAATGATGGTGATGATGGACGAGGCCATGAAGAGCAGGTAGAGGCGGAAGAGCAGGGTGTCCATCACGTGGCTGAACTGCACCCACAGGTCAACCAGGTGCTGCTTCTGGGCCTCGTGTTCCTGCTGGGCCCTTGCTGGTTCTGCCTCTGCAGAGCTAGACATCTTACCCACCAACTCCACAGGCTCCTTCAGGCCTGTGGAGAGGACAGAGACTCAGGCTGGGAGTCCTTCTGGGAGGGAGGGTGATAGGGAAGGAGAAGTGGAGGAAGAGGAAGTGAGGGCAGTGCTGACCTCTCTTACCAGGCAAGCAGGTGGAAGTGAGACCCTCATCCTTATTTCCTCTTTGGGGTTCACCACAGCAGCATTTAGTGGGGCTGGAGCAGTGCAGCAGCAGGGAGTGGAGCCACTGAGGCATGGGTGGGGGCTGGGTGGTGGCCACGTGGAGGAGGTAGGTGATGAAGATGGTCTCCAGGAGGCTGACCACCATCAGGGAGAGACACAGGGCAAAGTAGACACCTGAGGACATAGCAGATTAAAAGTGAGCCAGCCTTGGGAGCTCTGGTGGCCTAGTGGCAAGGAGCTGCAACTACAATCCCAGAGGAACACGGTTCGAATCCACCAGATGCTCTGCCAGGGAAGGAGGGACAATCTCCTCCTGTACCAGTCAGATCTGATTTGATGGTACACTCACACAAAAAAAAAAAAAAAAAAAAAAAAAAAAAAAAAAAAAAAAAAAAAAAAAAAAAAAAAAAAAAAAAGTGAGCCAGCCTGAACTTATTTTTTCTTTCTTTTTTCTGGAGATTCTTTCCCCAAATCCCATCTTTGCTCAGAACCCTTTCCCTCCTTAAGTGGAGCAACTGTTCCCTCTCCCACTTCCCACCTTGCTTTTGTTCTCATAACAGGGGTGGGGGGCATACTGATGAGGGGGGTGCCACTGGCGGGGAGTAAGTCATTCATCATGAGCAGGAAGACGTTGTAGCCCAGCAGAAGAGTTATCTTGAAGGGGGCACGGTTTTCACTTTCCGCCGGCAGGAAGAAGCTGAGGGCGTCGATAGCGACCAGAAAGCTGCTGGGCACCAGAAGGTTTATGACGTAGAGGATGGGCCTGCGCCTGATGGCCACCTGGGGGAGAAGAGAGAACGGAGAATGTGGCAAATGAGCTGATAACCAAGCACATTCAATTCAATTTCTATTTTGACTGTCTGATGATGAGGACAGGCGGGGTTCAGCTGTTCATAGGGTCATCATGAGCTGGAGTCAATTCAACGGCACATAACAACCACAACATCTGATGCTTGCTAAGGTGCTGTTAAGTTTGCATTGGGACAGCTTCTTTAGGTAACACATTCATTGGATCATGCCCTTCCCCAGAAGTACCCTGATTCGTCATTTCATTTTTATTTACAACCTTCTGGAAGCACAATCAGGTTTAGATTTTTAGAAGTAAGTGGAGACCTTGGGACCTTTGAATAGGTGGTGCTGTAGTAGTGGTAAGAAGCTGTGCCGCAATCCCAAAGGCATGTGGTTCAAATCCATCAGCTGCTCTGCAGGAGAAAGGTGGACAATCTCCTTCCGTATGATTAATTGACTCGGAAAACCTACTAGAGGGTCTTTTCCAATTCAATGGTGCACAGTGATGTTTATAACAGCTCAGCCCCTCTTCCTATCTGGGGTGGGGGGAGCAGCAGGGGCCCCTGGTTAAAAGAAACTTAGATAAAGTGTAAAGTTTAGAGGTGAATTAAACTCTAACTGCTAAAATAAGGGTTGGCTGTTTGATCCCACCCAGCAGTGCCACGAAAGAAAGGCCTGGTGATCTGCTCCCATAGAGATCAAAGCCTAAAAGCCTGTGGAGCTATTGCAGTTTGTAACACTTGAGCTGGCCATGAAGTGAACTGGTTTGATGGCAATGGGTTTCGCCTCTGGCTTCAGCAGAGAGTGGAGTGGGAAGCAGATGCTTAACCTCCTGGAACATCTTTTTACCTTCCAGAGAGCTTATATAGGAGGAAAATCACAGAGCAAGTAGGACCGGGAGTCAAATAGGAGCCCCTGGACTCACGTAGAACACGATCTGGTCATACAGGTTGCTGCCCACGAACATCTTTGGGGTGGCCTTGTTGATGCCCAGGAGCTCCCACTCTCCCTGGGTTTGAATGACGTCCCGAGATGTGTCTGTTATCTCCCACACTTCCTTTACCATGCCCAGGAGCATGCTATCCACTGCAAGGGAGACCCACTCAGTCAGCCCAGAAGTACCCCCAGCTTCCACTCATAAAATTTGATTCTTTCTCCTCTGAGCTCCTTCAACAAATTTTCCGCTCTGTCCTCTGATTTTCTTTCCCCTGTTATTTTGGGAGCAGAAGTGAGTCAAAGTTGTAAGATTCTGAGATGTGATTCAAACATGGGTCAGGAGCACTTGGTGTCATTAATATTTTCCTTCCTAACATACTGGGTGAAGGAACTTGCTTTAGTAGAATCCAGCTTGAACCACTCAACATTTTTTTATCATTACATATATATCCATTATAATGATGAATTTCCCCAAACCTGCCACAGGACACCTGATGCCATTCGGTTACACCAGTTTACTAGGTTAAGTCTGCTAGCTAGTACAGTTAAAAGGCCAGAGTGAGAAAGTGTGCCTCAACTCAGGGAAAGGAGGCATTCATCTTGCACAAAAGCCATCCGAGATCTCAAACAGTAGTTCTCAGCATTGGCTGTTCATTCACATCACCTGCGGACATACCGAAAATAACAAAGCCTGGGCCCCATCCTGAAACAGGTAAATTGGAATCTCTGACAGTGATGTACAGTTAAGGGTATTTTGGCATTTTCTGAGTAGCTTGCTGTATCACCAGAACTTCCTAACTCAGGGCATTTTTTAAAAATTATTTTATTTTATATTGGTTTACATACAAAGTTCATATACATTGTTTTTCACATTGGATCTTTTCCCTTTCCTTTACCCATCCTAAGGGTATTTTTAAAAAGCTTTAAGTGGGCAGCCAGGTTAAGAAACAGTAACCTAACATCTTCCCTACCTGCACCCCTTAAACAGCTTCCCCTGGATCTTAAAATAGTTGTCAAAATCATACTCACCGGTGTAGAGGAAAGAACTAAAAGTAAAAGTACAGTTCTGTTGGTCAAAAGGAAAGTAGAAGATATCCAGGTTACAGATGCTGGTCAACCGCGTCGGCTTGCCATATTTTATGCGGCCTTCACTGCTGACATAAACTGTGAGACCTGAAGGTGTCTTATCCACATCCATGCTGCTTGTGAAAAAAGAGGAGACAAAGGAATGCCTCAATTAGCGGTGGTCCCCCTTTTTAGCTCAGATTCTAATGTCCCTCCTGCTATTACTCCTCTTTGAAGTATTTTGTGGAAGTCAGCTGATTGAGACTGTGTCCCAGTCAGAATCTTGTGGTGTGTCTGTGCTCTGTTCTGGCTGCAAACTTAGCAAACTTCACACTGATCTTCCCCGCCCATATACGCACGATTCAACTATGAAGATGTCTGGGAGCCACAGGTTTTCAGCTGATATGGTGAGTTTATTGATGCCAACACAGTCCTTGGGGTTCCAGCTGATGAACGGATTATCCCATATCTACAACCAGGGCAGTGAGAAAGGTGAGTGCTGGGGGAGCTTGTCTTGTCAGCTTCTCTTTCCATTTCTTTAAACCCTGAGACATCCGTTCCCACTTGTGTCCTTAATGGTCATAGGCACCCTTCCTCTTTCTCTAACAGAGTCATCAATTAAGTCCCTCTTTCTAGACATTTTTCCAGGAACTAGGATCCAAAACTATATATATTCAATATATTGGCCATTGTTTTTCATTACCGTTTCTTCTTCTTCTTCTTCAGTTAACTAGGGAGCTAGGAGTCTATAGGTCCAATCCAGTTCTAGATGGAGTTATTTTGTGTCAGCAAGGGAAATGATACATTTAGTCAAGGTTTGGCCTAGTAAACAGTTCAATCACTTCTAACTTCTCCAATTTCATATTATACATGAAATAGGAATAGAATAGCTGAATGTGCCTTACCAAATCCATCCACAGGAATGATGTCAGCAGCTGGAGCTGTGCGTTCTGATAAAGAAATTCCCATCTAGAGTTATCAGTGCAGAAGGATCTAGTCCAAGCCCATTTCACAGTGTTACAAATATTTACGAATTTGTTACAGCATATCTAAGTCTGGAATTAAGCCTACCTTTTGCTTACCTGTTTCCCCTTGTGCTCAAAAACATTTCAGGATTTAATTAATAAAATTAAAACAATTTTAAATGATTTAAATATATTCTAGAAAGAGAAGGATTCAAAGACTAATGCTTTCTGTAAAAATACTACTAACGTCTCTCTACTACCTAGGATGAATCTTTAACTTGTATAAAACACACTCAGGGGATCCATTCATTGCTCCCCAGTAGACCAATGCCATGTTGGGTTGACATGGAAGAGGGTCCTTGTAGAAGTCTTTAAGAAGGACGAGGGGGCTAGATCTCACCACTTCCAGGATGGCAGAAAGGGTGAAGGAGATGTTGACATGAGTTGGGATGCTGTAGTTGAGGACTGGACGGAAGGCCTTTCTGGCAAACACTGCCTGGAAGGCAGCAGGATCCACCCCATTCCTGTCGAACCCTGAGCAGTTGATGGTGAAAGTGTCACCTCTTCCTGTAGAGGACAGAAAGCCTGTGAGATGAGAACAAGATCTCTGTGTTTCCTCTGTGAGAGGGGTGTCAAATTTTAGGGTCTCTCTGAAGAGAGAAAAAAACAGTGGACACTGGGAGAAGGGGTAAGCCCATCCTTCCTGGACCAAGACTTCCCAGGGCCAAAAGCCTTCTTTCAGGCCAGGGAGAACAGGGTGGGCAAGTAGGCAAATGGTGGAAGTTGATGTGGTGAGCTGAGCCAGTACTCTATTATAACTTCCGTTGTTTCATCCTTATGCAAAATATGCCCAAATCTGTATGCAAACCTGGCCTTGGTGCCACTTTAAGGAGGCCTTGAAAAGCAAGAACTGATTTATCAAGAGGATTAAGAGAACTAAATAACTAGACTTATAGAAATAGGTACAGGAAATGGGAAACATGGAGTCAGTGTTCTGCTTGGACGTTTGCTTCTGTGCTATTTATTTCACTGTTTTGCTTTTGTGTCCTCTATATCTTCATTTCTTTCCATAATATTTAAGGTACATGTCCAGGCTGGGAGCAAATATTTCTTCATATAAACTAAGTTCTCGCCTATGTCTAACTCATATCTACCCCTAAAATATCTCCATTTATTACTTACTCTTTGAGAATATATTTGACATCAATGACTAGTCCCCTTACAGATGGAAAAGAGATGGAGTTGCACAGGGGATGTAGTTGAAGTGACAAGATGGAATTGGGAAGGGGTAAATGGAAGGGCAGTTTGACAGAGTTCTGAGTAGATGGGAATAGAAAAGGACTGTGTGTTTTGATCAGTAAAACACATTTCTAAATCCAAAATCTCTGTAAATGTTCATTAAAATTAATAAAATTAAATTAAAAAACAAACAAACAAACACACATTTCTGTTGTCAAAAGGAAGTCAAGACACAGACAGAAGAAATGTTTAACATGTTGATTCTGAATGTCTTTCAAGGGCTGGAGAGACGTTCCTGGTGCCTTCCAGAGGGGCTTAACCATCTGCCCTGCTCTTGTCCCATCTTACTTACCTTGAAGGAGAAGGCTGACGGTGAGGCAGAGAGAGAATCCCCGCAGAAGCAGCCACCACCTTTGCATCCTCTTCTGCTGGATTCTTCTGTGGGGACTCACCAAGGAGCCCCCACACTGCTGAGCTTAAAGGTACTCGGACCACACCTTAGTTCCTGGTTTTGAATACTGCTCCTGTCAGGTGACCACTCCCTGGTGAGAGACTAGAGAAGTCACAAAGAGAGTGCCCTGCTTTGCCCCTTCCCAGGTATGCCTCCCACTATGGACAGAGACTGGGGGGGGGGGGACTCTGGGTCAGGACTAAAGGCGAGGTGTTCTATTTGGTGGCTCTGTGCTGAGACCAATAACAACAAACTCTCCTTAATGAGAGAATATGGACTGGGGAAACATGGGTTATTGTCTTCTAAGGCCAAGGACTTTGAAGATAAGGGAAGGTGACAGCATTTGGTTATGAACGATGAAATATCTCTGGGCTTTTTCTGACATTAGACATAGTTAGAAATACCATATTGATCCATACCTTTATCATCTATTACTCATTTTTTACTCCCATTCACTACATATGCATGCAAAAGTTAGACAATGAATAAGGAAAACTGAAGAACTGATACCTTTGAATTGTGGTGCTGGCCAAGAGTTTTAAACATGCCAGGGATGGCCAAAAGAACAAGCCAATCGGTGTTGGAGGAAGCGTGGCCAGGCTGCTCCTTAGAGGCAAGGAGGGGGCGACTGTCTCAGCTGTTTTGGACATATTATCTGAGTTGGACTCCAGGCTTGGTAAAGTGAGGATCAGAGGAAGAGAAGATGACCGTCAACACAATGGACTGAGACAGTGGCTGCAGCAATGAAATCAAGTCCCTCAGGGAATGTGGGGTTGGTGCTGGATGGGGCAGTGTTTGTTCTGTGGTATTTGAGTCACTATGTGTCACAGCCAATTTGACAGCACCAAAATACAATAGGGAGCTCTGCTGGCTTAGTGAGATGAAGCTGCACTGCAATATCAAAGGCACACGGTTCAAATCCTCCAGGTGGTCCATGGAAAAAGGATGGGCAATCTCCTCCCATGCGACTCACTGCCTCTGAAAACCTGCTGGAGGGTCAGCTCTGGATGGGTTCCCACTTGACTGCACACCACCACCACCACAAAAAAACGATCTTGAGATTTGAAAGTTCACTTAGAAGACAGATTTGCCTCTGGCAACACAAGGGCCTGGCTAACACAAGGAAGAAGCTGTTGACATGAGGGTACAGATGCTCTCTTTTTATTTTATTTTTTTTTTAAATTTAAGTTGTTTATTTTTCATTTCAATGAACATCTACAGAGATTTTGGGATTCCATTCATTCATTGTTGCACCCTTCT